GATAACGGCTAATCCACATCACATAACAACCGAAGCCTGCGTGGTGGTAAGCACGCATACCGCCGCCCTACACTACCTAAACCGGGATCAGCCGCCCGTCGGCACAGTCGAACAAGGAATCGTAAATTGTGATTTTGAAGAGGGAGTTCTTATCTTCGGAATGAGGTTGTTTCCTGGAAAGCAAAGGAAGAAGTTGTTTGTTGTAAGTGGGAAGTTTTTTACGACGTCTGGAAAAATTTCGAAAATTTTTGCGGCTTTGGAACTTTCGTGGTTACAACCGTTACAAATTCCTACTTCACAGTGCCCTTGCGTGGTATTTGGAAGGGTGTCAAATTGAACTAGCTTGATGTCCAAATTGTCGGCCTAACCAAATTATCATCGGTTTTAAGAAGCGGTGATAAAAGGTGTGGGGGAGGGGTGTTAGTTCCTGTTCTTTCAGTCGGTGACACGCCACGAGTGCCCTAGGTAGATGCTGCCGATCAGTGGCTTTCCGAAGTATGACAGTAAGTCTAGAATCAGACTACGTAAGGGGCTCATTCCATACTCTCCTAACATTATGATCACTTCACTCGCTCTCGTTCGCTTGTATAGAGTTTCTGGAGTCTTCTTGTTTGAGCAAATGATTCATCTCAACAAAAAAGAGTGAGGTCGAGTTCTCCAAGTCACTCCGATGTTCAAACTATAATGGAGCATTTGGGACCGGATTCCACATGAAAGGAGAACCACTCAATGTATAATCATTGGTTTCTCTTACTCTGTTTCCTCAAGTGTTTCCATTTCTTCTCAAACACCCTAATGTGAAGAGGTTTCTCAAAGGTGGAGCAATTTCGTCTCGTATATAACACTGGGACAAAATTTTTTCCTTTGTTCGCATTGCCAACAAAAAGTTAAGAGAATTGGGTGGAAGGAAATTGCCTTGGTTGGTTGTCGATGGAATGGTGAACCAGTGAAATCTCGTTGATAAGTTGAAATGGGATGCAAAGGCAGTCGCTGTCTGTCTAGCGATTGCCTCACCACTTTTGCTGGGATACACTTCCCAGAACTCTCCTCTCACGTGTCGATTATTTAACTATTTTTCAAGGAGATCCTATTTTTCTCACAAGGATGCTTATAGGCAAAACCTTTGCTCCAACTGACTCGAGCCCGACCTGGCTTGCTTCTCGTGTTGCCATTCCACGCCTAGAAACAGAGTACACCGTCCGTTGAGATTGCTCCAAGGAGGCGGATTTGTAAATATTTTGGGTCTCTAGAAGAGGTCAATGTGATGGAAGAAACTCGCGGAAACAAAGATATGTTGAACCCAGCTCTTGAAGAGCTATACATATCCCAGCGTCACATACAACGACACTATCGAAACCATCAACCATTGAAGGTGGTCGTATAATGGGGCCCTAACCAAGGAATAGCTTTCGCAACATTCTCGAAATCGGCACAGCGACGAGTTGACCTTGTGCACATGAATATGTTCATGCCAAACGAAGAGCAATAAGAATCTTTTGATTTTTGAGATTGAGAGCAAGATTGAGATCTGAAATGAGTTGAAGTTCGAGACGAGGATTCGGATCTACCAAATTCCAATTTCCACCCCTTTTCAATTTTTTTTTGTTAAGAGCCCATTTAGCAGAGAAAGTCTATATCATTCTCGTTCTCCTTCCTTGTACGAGTTTCCATTGTAAAAAGCACTTTTAGCAATGGACGCAGAAGGAATTTACTGCGCAGCCAGCCGTGCTCACTGCGCTGGCAAGTTTCGAAAAAAAATCTCCATCGATTTCAAAAAATGTTTCAGAAAGTCAACGGTAAGTCCGTAGAGCGAACTGTGGGGTTTCTATGGTTTCCTTCATAGGAGGTAATTAGCACCAACTTCAATCGTGCGTAGAACAAAGAGCCAGAGTGATAAATGATATGGGGGGGGGGTCCGGGTCCTATTTCAGGTTTTTGTGTACCCCTCCCTATGCGGGGTTTGTGGCTGATTCGAAGTGTATCGCCTGTTCTCGAAATTAAAGGGTATAGAAACAGTGATGGTAGTGAGGGTGATGGGGGGGGGAGGGTGTGAAGTCGAATTTGTAAGGGGGAAGCGTCCCAGACTGTTGTAGGGGGAGCGAGGGTCGTGACAAGACGCCTCAACAAAGCCGAGGAGCGAAAGGAGGGGAAAATTGTGAAAAAAATTGAACTGGTTCACCCTGTTAAGCACTGGTAAGACCAACACTCGTGGTCCCATATAAAAAGTGGCCCAATAATTACCCTCTCTTTCAAAAAGCGAGAAGAGCGTCGGGTGCAGACCATACACCACAAGTGACGACGGCCTCCAAGTAAATCTGGTTAGTAGTGGTTCATAGTGATAGCTGATTTTGGTAAATGATAGTTGTAATTAGTGACAACTGATAGAATACAACTGCAACAGGCTAATCATTTCATTGGCAGAAAACATTTACATTTTGTGGAGGCCGTCGTCACTTGTGGTGTATGGTCTGCACCCGACGCTCTTCTCGTTTTTTGAAAGGGAGTATATGTCTCGCTTTTGCCGGGAAATTCGGCGGCAGAACGTTGTTCGTGAATTGCTCCGATTGTGCCGCTAACCACATATTTCTTCACTTTGTTTTCAGTTGTCGTTACTAGCCAATTTATCACGCCATCTATTAGAAATACCGTGGCTTTCAATAATTTGGGCGTTGACCAGTTCGAGTAAATTCAACGTAATGCACTAATCCCTTGCTTTCCGCTGGACGTGGACAACCACTGCTTATGAGCGGTCTAATCAAATAGCGAAACCGTAGGAGTGGAGATGATGGCGTAAGGGACTCGCCCAGCTGAACCCGTCTGTCCATGTATCCGAGTGTCTTGATCTGTGTCTCGACGGCTAGAGGAAGAGGGCAATGTCGCGACGCCGGCGTTGAGTGGGCGGGCAATTCCGGCTGATGGACCGGCTTGCGATGCGATTTTTGTTTCTTCGTTGTCCACCCCCGGGTTTCTCATTGACAAAGGCCGATCTCATGTTCAGATCGTCGTCATCTACTATTCACATCATTATCGCTGTTATCACTCTACCAAAATGATCCTTTATCATCCTATTTTTGATCCGCCGACCAGCACTGAAGCCGTTTTTCGATTTCGTAGCGCTATGAGTGTTCAGCCGAGAAAATCACTTGTTTGGATAAAAAAAATCACAAAATATCTAAAAATCATGAAAATGCCTTTCATTGAGCATTACATAAGATTATTGTTACTTGTCAGCTGATGGAAATTGTTTACAAACATTCATTCTTGTTTATTATGATCGCCATGTTTTCTTGTTTCTTGTTGGTTTCTACCGTCTGGTTTCCACTGACCGTTTACCTTTTGCTGGCTTGAGAACGCAGTGAATCGCTTCATACTCGACCTGTCAATTTCATGTGGTAGAAACTGCCTACGTAGATTTCTATCGTAGTATTGAGTTTTTTCGCTGCAAAGTTTCGCTTTTTCTTTTATAGCGCCTTTCGATTCTCGCCAACAATCCGTCGCTCATACGACCTGAATCCGTTTGAGCCGCTTTTCGAACAGATCCTCTTAGTTGACCTCTTGTACCATAGCTCTTCCCATGGTGTCGAACTGAATACAACCCTTAACGGGTTTTCATGGCCTGACTTCATTTTTCGGTGGAGGAAAGGACGTTTCTTTACACCCCTCACATGTCTAGGTCATCAAAGTGTTGGGCAACTGAACTTCTCATGTCTTAAATCGTGGATCATGTGGCGATCTATTCATCCGTGATCCATAGAAAATCGGGCCGTCGCACAATACCATGCCCAGAACCTTATTATTATGTAGCAGTCAAGATGTGGGCTTTTGAGGTCATAGAATCTCGGTGGTGAAGAGGCGCGTAGAAAGACATTCGCAACCTGTCATACCGTTCTTCGTGGAACGTAATTGCCTTGAAACTACTACCCTGTTACAAAACAATTCCCGAATTCATTCAAAAGATGTTACATGTTCAATGTTTTCACCGTTAGCAGCCTGAGGACGTACATAATCAGTTAAGAAACCCTGGCGTTCATTTTAATAATATTACTTCAACGCAATCAACGGACTTGAAAAAACGAACTGTTACCTGCTCATTCCTTACCTAACTCTCTCCTAGTCTTAACAGCGTAAACTGCCCCAAAATCTAAAAGATAAGAACGGTCCGATTTTTGCAAAAAGAAGAACCGATAATGAGGCGGGTTTTTCAAAAATGTTTTTTTTCTAGTTTAAGTTGAATTTTTTTCAAGTTGTTCGAGTTGTTTTTCGAGTATTCCTTTTTTGCAGATTTATGTACTTTGACTTCACTGCGAAATAGCCGTAAGCAGTCGCGCAGACCGCTCCTATTTTTAGGGTAAGCCTCTCGTACTGCTAATGAGCTTCATACCTTCACGTCTGTGAAATCGTAACCTCACCCAGAAAAAAAAAACCCGGATATAGCAATTTGTCCACAGGTGCTACCCAAAGAATTCTCCAACAAGGCCCAAAGATGAATGATTCCATAAAAAATATTGTTTTGTAGCATCGTTTGCGCGTTCTTATAGGCACAATGCACAAGCACAAAGTGGGTCTATTCTGAAAGAGACTTAAATTTTTGGTTAGTGACTTTCGAATGCAAGTGGCAGCGATGGTATTATTGATGCTGCTAAAGAATACGGTATCCATAGGAATCCAATCCAAGTATTCGTGCCAACCACAGGCTCGAAGAACGATGTTTACCTAACCGCGTACGGGCAGACAAACGTTTCAAACTGACGCCTCATACGACCTTTTTCAAAAAAGTGAATGAGAGCGTGAAGCTGGTGATGAAGGTCAGACTACAAAGTGTATACCCTCCATAGGCCATGGTGGATGACGTCCTTCTTCCACCTCCATTTATCCTTCCACTCATCTTGTGATTTCTGAATTTATGACCTTCAGTTGATTACCTCACCGTCTTCGCTTGTAATTTATTATTTTTGTGAGCAATTGTTGTGTCCACTTGTAGGCGCAGAAGGTCAGGAAAGATGGAAAGCCTCAGGGCTTCCGCTCTCCTTCTCGCTGGCCTGATCCTAGGAAGTAAAGTCCACTCCACTAGCGGTTAGTTTTTGGTCCACGCCTTTTTGTCTCTTGAATGTGCACGAAGTCAGCATTTTATAGGATTATGTACGAGAAGTTTCTTTGCTCAACCTGTCATTTACGATAAAGCTATGGGAATCGATTTTTACTTTACTGGGTAAGTATTCTTGTAATATTCACAATTCAGCTGCTCACATGTGATATGCGATTCCACAGGGTGATCAGGACCGGCCATCTGTAGCGAAGGCTAGTACCTCTAGCTGTTCAGCTGCTCATTTATCTTTAATTTTATGCGAACCTTCTTCAATCTCTACAAGCCTCAGTCACCACCTTATTGATAGCGGCAGCGTGGTACTGTTGACACCGAGCTTCGCAGATCGTGTGGGACGGCGTGGTACACAGCTGCACCACATATCTGTTATTCATTGTCTCTTCTCTCGAAATCCCGAGATTGTTAATTTTTTATTCTTTACATATATTGTACCTGATCCGAAAAAGAGCTTGCTATTGCTGCGTTTCTCGCGAGCTCTCTTGTTTTTTTCTAGTTTCCCTTACGCGCATGCAAAATCGTGCCTGTCTCACAATGCCAAAAGCAAAGACACGCGCTGGGTTCATTTCGCCCCGTCAAATTTGCAGGACACCCCATAATTTTGGTCAGTCGTCTTCAGTCAAATACGTCATCATAACATGTCCCAACTTCTTGAATTCATAGCTTGGGACAGAGCCATATATGCTAACTGGACTGCTACAACTTTTTTTTAAATTATTTAAAGCTAGGGTCGGTGGTATATTACAGGCCCAGCAATGAGAAGTTCTTCGATGGTGATTTGGACTCTCAGTGGAATGATCAACTTTTAAAGGGATTGTTTTTCCGTGAAAGTAAACTTCAGGAATTCTTAATCTACTTTATTATTACAATATTTTTATTTCTATATTTTTTACTCTAAAAGTTTTGGAAGGTAACTTGAAGTCTCTTCAAGCCAATCAAGAAATTATACCCATCGCAGTTGCATGCTTTGGTGTTTTTGTATTCTTCAGAACAGGAAAGACGTGATAGTTGTTCGGGAATCCTCAGAGCACTCCCGAATTGCAAAAACCCTAACGGGAACGGTCGATAAAGGCATGGTGGCCCTGACCTCTTCCGTAGAAGCGCGTCCACAACCTGAAACCAGGGCCGACTGTGGTATTCGGCCAGTTTCAAAAAATTTACGATCCCTTCCGGGGGTTTCACACAGGACTTCCACCCTTAGGGGAGAGGTCCCATCACGAATCCTCCACCACCGCCACCGTCTTCACAAGCATTGAGCATTAAGGGGGTATGAGAGGAGAGAGGTAAACAACTGCTGAAACAACAAATTCTTTCTACACTAACCAGCTCACTTGCACTTTCGTGATAATTGTAAAAATTCTCACCGATCGCCACAAACGTCTCTCCCTTCTCTAAACCCGACATTTTCAACTTCCACAAATATGGCCTCGCTAGGGTTTCCTGACGGATGGCTGACCCTGCTTAGTGAGACCTTTGATTGAAATCAGGGGATACAGCTGTAAACACTTGTATCACTCGACGTCAAGGCAGAACAAAAATTGAACCAGAATTCGGTCAAACCTTGATTTCGTTCGACCCAATGGAAATTATACTTTCTTTTTGAGGCGGATTTCATCGCGAATTTATATATTTTTTCACTAAGTAGCAGTCAAATTCATTTTTGAAAGGTTTCGATGAGGGCAAACTGTGGCCAACTTTCTATGGCAAGTTGTCCCATCCCCGCTGCCACTCATCTGTAATTACCTTCTAGTCAATTCACTGGTGACCCCATAAACAGAAATTTTCATGTTCAGAATCAATGTGCCATCGGTAAGCGCATGTGCTGATTTTTGTGGTGCGAGAAAATTCTGTCGAACGGCAATCTTCAATTCGTACACGAAAACATGTGCGATTTCTTACGAGTACACGCTAAATTGCAGGTGATTTGTGGTTGTGAAGTTTATTTATTTATTTTTTATTCATGGATTTTTAATTTTGTTGAGGTTTTGACCATTTAAATGTCCACATCAAAACTTTCCCCTCCTAGGTACAACAAGAACCGATACACCGATTTCGATTTACGCTCAAGCTCCAGTCATCTGATACAAGTTGCGTGTGTGGCAAAATGTAGTGAAGATTATGCACCACTCAGTGAGTTTACTCATGATTCCTTTCACGTTTTTGGGGTCAATGAACTCGAGCGCTCTCGTGTGGCCTGTTTCATGTTCATGCAACCTCAATCCATGTGACTCGGCTCACTGATCCGCTTACTCGACCAAGACCTTGTGTAGAGCGCTGAAGCGTGTCCATGGAACAGTAGAAGAAAAAGACCCGTTACTCCTTCTTAACATTCCATTGTACGGGACGGCGATTTGAGCAACACCACGATTGACCGGGTTTCTCATAGGGTGGCCATTGTTTTTTGACCAAAATCCGTTTGCAGGTCCAATGCAGTAAGGGTTGAATCTAGAGAGGTGGGCCGGTAAGAATATGTGCTCCATTAATAAAAATGGGCTGAAGTGGTGCAGTGGCAAGTGGCGCGCTTACCACGCGAGCGGTCCGGGATCAAATCCTGGGTCGTGAGTCGCCCGGGCCAACCAAGCCTTCCATCCCTCCGGGGTCGGTTAATTGGTACCAGACTTGTCTGGGAGGATAAAAACACTGACTTGAACATCGGCTGGCCCCCGCAAGTCATTGTATAGGCCACATCGCATCAAACTGCCACAACGGTTTTATGAAGCAGAACGCGTGGCGTATCCCAATTGTTGACTGATCAACTCCAAACACCCTATGCTTATTCTTTTATGTTTAAAAATGCACCTAAGCTAGGCACCTCTTTATTGAAAGTCTAATTAGCTTGACTGCCCTTCATTCAAAGAGAACTCCATCGCGATTTCACAAAATCTCTTTCATTAGATGTAGTGTTCGGAGAGAAATATGCTAATGACTCTGTAGACTGTTGGGGCTAACATTCAAGTGTCACTACGATCCTAAAGTAAAGAGTTGGAGGAAATACTTCTTTCTCAATTTGTGGTCTGCATCTCTAAGGATAAGGATAATAGCGTGATCACGTGCAATCATTTGAAGTATACATACATTTGACAAGGGCTCCCTAACGTGCTTTCACATTTCGGCTTGGCATGGAGCGAAAAAGCGACCCTGACGCAGGAGATGTACTCTATCCAAACTCAAGGAGACGTAGGAGTTCCCGGGGTGTGGAGCACTGACCAAATGCAAAACATTGAAAAGCATCTGGATAGGAGGTGTAGGAGGGAATGCTGCCCCTCACTTATGAATAAGTACACTTAAAGGCACGCCCCATCATCAAATTGCTGAGGTGATTCGCTCGGCAGTAAACATAGTGAAGAGTGAAGGCGAAGAAGCCTCTGAGAGACATAAAGTGGAGGCCTTGTCGTTTCCCGGCAGTCGACGAACCTATAAGGCTACGTTTAAGCGCGGTTATACAGTAGGCGCTGAGATGAAAAACAGATTAAAGAAATTTGCACGAGAAAGCATAAGGTGCACATGGGAGCGCAGATGGCAGCACAACGAGCAATGGAGGCGGGAGATGCGGATCGAGGCGTCTTTTGCGGGCCAACGCTTCTGGCGCACTTGCTGCGCCCTTTTAGTCGAAAAGTGGCACAGTTAAAACCCTCAGGACCAGCTCTGTACTATCCACCGGAGATTGAATTCACCAGATTCTATCGGTTATGCCTTTATAATGATTCGATTTCACGCGATCAACGCGTATATCCTCAGATTGCAGCCGCAACGCACAGTGGAGTACCCCCAACTCCTTCCCCAACCTTATTTTTGTTGGTCGCGGATAAGAGTGTCGGGTGCATAGCACACTGTGAGAAGATAGGCCATTATCGAGTACACTCGCACCCTGGGTCAGGGTGAATATCGGTCGAGGATTCCTCAACGGCTTGTCGAGGATTTTCGCCTGATCAGTTACGCTCTCCCGCGCGGACATTCACACTCGCCATGCGCGAGCCGTCTGTGCTCTCCGCGCGTACGTTCACTCTCGGCACTACTCTCGCACAGTAGAGAGCCATGGTCGAGGAATTCCTCGACCGTTATTCACCCTGTCCTGAGTAATTCTAAACCTACCAACGCTCGCAACGACGTAGAAACGGAAAACCAACCATTATAAAAACCTATTGAAATACTTTGTGGGTGTGACCAATGTGAGATAATGAACGTTTCAGTGCCGCTACGTAGACAACCTCAAGTTGTGGCAGAAAATTCGTCTAATGGAAGTGCACGACAGAAAGTGGAACTCATCACAGGAGATCCTCACGACGGCAGTAAGCGTGAACGGTTCTTACCTGAAGAACAGACGCGGGCTATCGAGACTACGACCACCAAAGGTCAACAAGCCATCACCACTAACGTTAACAATTCAGCTCTTCCAGCTGTGGATGAGGTGAAAAAGCAGGCTACAAGACGCGGTTAGTAGATATATTTTGGGACGGAATTATTATCTATGTTTGTATCACGATTAAATAAAATGTTTGTGCTCACAGACTTTCCTGCAGTCAACCTCCGGTGGTGCAAACTCCACTTGAATATAATTTTACGGTTACGCTTCATTTTTCACTCCCATCGCATGCTTAGCCGCCAACAGAACATCGCATCACAGGTTAAATGATGAGCACCCGTGATACAGTAAAACAAAGCTGACGCAGATCATGATAAGTAGCGATCGTGATTATTGGAGGACTGAGCAGTTCTGATGACGTCATAGAACGCCATTGGTAGATTGAACGCCTCAGTACGCCGGGCATGTGGTTGGGACCGACTCTTGATCGGTGAAAAGGCATCAAGAGGCGGTCCCAACCACGTGCCCGGCGCCCTACGGCGTCCACTCCACCAATAGCATTCAATGACGTCATCAACACCGCACCGCCCTCCAGCCATCGCGATCGCTGCCTTTAAATCAGATTCACTGAAGTAGTCAAGTTTTGGGATTACTCGTGCAAACAGCCAGTGGAAACCCAATCCAGCGACGCTACGAGCAGGTTGTCTCCCATATTGCTGTGTAGCAGTATCCTCTTATACAAATATCACGAATTAATAGCAAGATTTTTTCCATGAGCATTGTAAGGCATTGTATCACGATTAATCATAAGCTGATCACAATGCCATTAACGTCAAAATCCTAAAGCGAAATCACAAGGCATCACCTACAAGTTTTTTTTTTCGTTTGCAGAATTGTAAACTTAACAACTGATTGTAGCAAAAAAAATCAATTTCAAGTTGTACGCAAAAGTTTTTTCGCGAGACCCTCCATTTACTATCATTTGCAGGTCCATCTCAGGTCTGTTTCCGAACGATTGAGAGGCGATACCTACTGGGTGGCTCGTTTGAGCAGCATACCACGTCGTCCATTGATGAATGCAGGTATTTCTAAACAGTATCACATTGATCTAAAATTGCTTTAGTGGCACCTTTTTTAGTTATTTTGAGGGACCCTTGGAAATAGTAAGGAGCTGTAAGGAGCTGAACTGATTAGCAATGACAATCCCATATAAAATAATAAAATTTTTTCAAATTATTTAACGTTTTTGATTTTTCCCAAACTCTAGCACATTTCGGAAATATATTATCGCTTTAACATCACCTCTGAAAGTAATAGTGACTGCCATAGGATTCGTAGTTGGGAAAATATTGCTCGAGGGTCGGCCTTCATTTCGATAGAGAAATTATGCTGTGATCCTGTATTTTTTCACGAGTAGTAATGGAATTTTTTGTGCATTTTTGGTGATATTGAAGAAAATGATTTATTCAAATGAAGAAGATGAAATGGAGGAAATTCAATTCCGTTGTATTCTCCAATGCTTGAGGTAAGAATGAGAACGCTCATGACATGTAAATGGCTGTGTAAGTAACTTTTGATAAGTAGCGGTGTAGTGTGAAAGTAAATCCTGAAATGCTTTCACAAGTTGGCCCGTAAAGGTTCAAGGAAATATCTGAACAAGGGGGAATGGGTCTCGGATTTAGGGTGGAGAAGCTCCTGGGTGGATGACCTGTGCAGAAAAGTGGATAGGATGTGGGCAGGTAGTGTGGAATGTAGGACATCCACCGGTCCTTATCAAAAGTACGCTCGAAATGAGTCGTTCACTTATTATCTTATCCGTAGTGTTCGATAGCCCAAAGAACTGCTCTCTAGTACTACGGATAAGATAGCAATGGAGTGCCCCCCCCCCCCAAACTGGTTTCACCTCAGCAAGTAAACAATTGCCGGTGAGCATGGTGAAACATTTTTAGGATCTAAGTTGATCACTGAGTGATGCTTCCAATAGTAGTGTTCGAAGTGTGGAACAATTATTCACAAACTTCTTAAAAAACTGATTTTCTTTTGAATCTTCAGTTTTCACATGTGACGCGGTCGCATGTCAGTTTTGCTGCGATAGAAATCATAGAGAAGATATCGGGAACAGATGATATCATCGCCAACAACCAACAAACACTAAAGCCGTCGTGCAAAGGAAATCACACGGCTCTAAATATATTTATCAAAGATCGATACTCTTATCCTCATTGATAAAAAATGACGAAAAATAACATTAATTGTGTAAAAAGTACGAACAACCGTGGATCATAACTTTTGAAGCCTCTTGGTAAAACTGGCGACTTTTTCAATGTTTGCAAAATATTCAGAATAAAGAAATAACACGAATAATTGTAATACGTGAGCATACTTATTACAAGCCAATTGCCGAGTTTCATCCACATCAAAGTGCATGCATGAAACGGAAGGTAAACTAAGTTCTCTTTTAGCCCCATTTAGGCCCTTACTGTTTTCAAAAATTGTACGATAATTGAAGGATGATTACATAAGAACGAAGTTCAAATTAGAAGAAAATTGCCTAGTTGGGAGACAGGCGGACCTCCTGAGGGTGCGGACTGACGCGCAATTGGCAGCGAAAGATTTGACCTCGGCGATCTAGCATGGCGCAGTTGGCGCGGTACGCCCACCGACATAGGAGAGAGCGTTAGCGTTGAAGAGGGCACGATGAGAGTCGCATCAATGCGGAAATCAACGGGCAAGGAAGGGGTCCCATTTCTCGGGTTCTGGGCCGTTTCTCATGGTTTTTCCTTCTTTCGTGTACCACTCACCATCCCTAGGTTAATTTGAAATGGGTTGCTTTTTCATCGTGAATTCGTCCTTTAAGTTCTCTTCCCTGGCACAACTGGCTGGGAACCACGAGGTGTAGGAGTATTGACCGCCGTAATGTGCCTGAATTTCGCGTCCAATCTTCAGAAAATTCTGTCAGTATTACACGGTCAAAACGGATTTTTCGTTGCAGTAGCTCTTTAACCTCTCCCGCGCTGCCAGTACCTAGCCGAGACATGGCGCTTCCCTGGCGTTTTCTCAGCTCTTGTTAGTCATATTTTCGCTCGAAACATGTACATAGAGTCACCCTTAGCACATCTATATGGGAAAAGGACAATTTGTCGCACGAAGCACTTAGCTGTCGCTTTTTTCACTGAAAATTTGCTAAAAAAACATATGGCACTAACTTACAAGATTAGATGAATTGTGGCAAGCAAAAAAAAGTTAAAAGGATGAATTGGAAGACAACTTTTTCAGGATATGTTATGAAATCTGTTCCCTTCTAGAAGCATTCGCCTTTTTGGCCTGAGAGATTATATTTCATGTCACAAGGAAGGCCCTACTTGCCGTTGTTTTGAGGGAAATGTCATGGTGACTGCAGGGCGGTGCGGTCGGTCCACACAGCGCGCTGAGTAGTTAGGTCCACCAATGACGTTTATTGACGTCACCAAAACCGCACCGCCCCCTTCCCCCTTCCCCAGCCTCATGATTGCTACCTTTGATGTCACACAAATGTCCGGCGACCAAAATAATTTGTTACAGATTTGTTGTAATTTTATACATATTCTGAGCTTCTATCACGTTTCATAATTTTCTTCCTTCTCACTGACCCACAAGAGATTAATTTCCCTTTCTTGAAGGTGCCTCTGCGCGGATACATTTTCCGCACTACGTCTACATCGATGCCAATCACTTCAGTGGTATCCTAGTGGAAAGTGCGTTCTAAACAAAGGCTCTCATCTTGGAAGATATGACCTGATCGAGGATCGAAACGCAATTTACCAGTACATCAACTGTGACATACAAGGTAATGAAATTGCTCCATATGAAACCGATGATCCTGTTTTTCGCGACTTATGGAAAGTTTTTCAGTGCTTCTTGACATAGCATCGAGAGTCTGCAAGGCAGCGAACACTTCCAATACAGTCACAGGAACTTCTGGTAGGTTCAGCTTTCTAACCCAAAGTCATGAGGCGATCTTTTTCATGGCTTTTCACTCACAAATTAATTTGAAACTATATTAAACAGAGAGCTAGTGTTGTGGTGAGAGCCAAACTCCACGTTGAGTTTCTTGAAATGGCCCCATCCTCTTTTCGAAGGGAATTCCCCCTTCTTAAAATCCCTCCTATTACCACTTTCGTTGAATCCGCTACCACCTTATACACTACGAATTGAACGCGCAAGCTCGAGGAGGGGGGAGGGAAAGTGTGTAGATGTTTGAATTTCCAAATTTTCTAGGTTTATTCACTTTTACTGGAAATTAGCCTGACTTAAATGAATTCCCCTTTTCATTTTCTGCAAATAGAACTCAATGTCACCACATACGGTCTTCTTCCCATAATCACCAAATGCGACCCCCTTGTTGGGAAAGTTTTGGTGGACGGTTGACCCTGGTTGCGATGCTAAACAAGTGAGCACCTTTCATAAAAAGAACAAACTAGAAAAATAGTGAAGGATTTTGAAGTAGACTTCATTTTAGCCCGAGCTCGAACGACAAGCACAACAGAGAAACCATCGTACAAAAGACCAGTAAATCGTGAACAGAGCACAGGTGATGTTTCAGTTCATGGAGATCGCAATGAACCTGACCGCGGAATTCGATCGTAGTCACGGGTCGAGGCATCGTCGCGGCATAATACCGACATTAGTCCGTGTCGTCTAATAGCAGCATTTCAGAAGTACCAACTGCAACATGGAAGTTTTTGACCACCCCGTCCGCTACAAGTCCATCTACTACGACAGCGTCAACAGAGCAGACATCTACTGAGGAGAGCACTTCAACAGAGCTAACAACAACAACAGTGGAAATTACGGAATCTCCTACACCAGAACCCACGGAAGTTTCAAGAGTGACCGAAACTACTACGACTACTACGGAAGCGATTGAGGAGGTGCAAACTACAGAGGGAAGGGAGGTCGAGAGTTCGACTTCGGTGGTGCCTCAGGAAACCAACCAACGTAATGCAACTGAACTTTCCCCTCTCAAGATTGGTGAGCAGTTGTTTTATTCTAACAATAAAAACTATGTCCTTTGAACCACAAGGTTCAAGACTGTACAAATAATTTGTTAAGGCGGAATTGGCCTAGAAACTCTAGCTAAGGCCTCTAACGAGCCCAGTTAAGTTTGTGAACCATTTACGGTAATTCGTGGTGAGTAGAGGGCACCTTACTGCGATGAGTTTGGGTACCACCCTAGGAGGCCCGTCGCGCGGCAAGAAGGCAGAGTCGTCGGACGTGATGTGCGATGTAGGACGTGCAATGGGACACTCTATTTAACTTGACGCGAAATCCCTATAGTACGCGCGCGACTCGTCCGCTGACTTTGCCTTTTTGCCGCGCGACGGGCCTCCTGGGGGTACCCGATGAGTTTGAGGGCGAGGAAGAGGTGAAGCGATGATTTTTCAACAAGAATAGATTCATAACTCGTTGGCATCGCTGCTTTTAATCTTTGTGAAACCATTTCGTTTTTGTGTACCGTTCAGCCTACGAAAAATATTTTGTGATATTAACTTTACTGGTATTAACTTTACTATCACAATCACAAGCCAAGTATGTAACTCGACAGCTGTTGGGACTATACTGTAGGCGTATCGTAATAATGACTTTTCAGTTAACAGCGGTTGCTTTGAGGAAATCCGCGGCTACATGATGACTAATGTTGCCGGTGGTCTCGAACATGATGTATCCATGGACGAGTGCAAATGTTTCTGTGCGAACAGCAAGTAACACTTACAAAGTTATTTCAAATAAGTTTGTTGCAGTTTTTCGGCGAAATTATGAACCTTTACTTTTGCGTTTTAAATGATCCGAGAGCGGATGTGGCGCAGGGACCTGGGGATCAAGTCAATGATCGAATGTTACCCAGGCTAACCAAACCTTCCATCCCCTTGGGGTGAACTAATTGATACCAATCCTACTTCGGAGGACAAGCACCCTGAATTGTACAGATCAGCTGGTTCGTAAGTGATTCTGTGGGCGAAATCGCACTCAAAATGCCGCCATCATTCCGAATGTGAGTAACATGCTTGGCGCATCCCGAAAATGGATTGATCGACGACGGATGCATCATGCTTTGCCTTTTTACCTTAGCTAGCCTCTGTACATACGATTGCAATGAATTTCATAAGAAACGTCGTGGCACCTACCTTCCGCCAAATGGCGCCGGTGACAACTCGGAATGTCACAGTGGTAACCTCCACCTATGACCTTTTTGTCCCATGAAAATGTATTAGTGGAATAATGCCCAAGTACTCCTTTCATCGAGTTTTATTCGATCCTATCGTCGCAATTCGTTGCTGATGAAGGTGCAGAGTTCAAATTTTCCCTCAGCGCTGAATTATTGGGCTGTGATTCCCACTTCATTCCTTACAATGTCTGGATGGATTAGACAGTGCAAGCCTATTTCCAAGATATAACACAGGATCCTGGGTGTTCTTTCAGGCATACACTTCTTTTTTCAGAACTTCTCGACGGTATTCATTTGAATGTCTCTCTGCGACTTACTATCACGAAGAGCGTGATTGTATTCTAAATCTGGACAATCGACATCGAAATCCACAACTTCTGGAACAGCAAAGCAGCGACTACTCTGTGACATATTTGGGCATGACATGCGGAAAAGGTATCCCTTGCCTTGCTTAAGTGTTTAGTTTAACCCTTTCGGCCCTGGCGGTGGCAATTGCCACCATCAAATTCAAATGTTTGCATTGCCGCTGAAACAGCATGGTTTTTCTAATCCTGCTAGAGGTTGCTTCAGTCAACCTTCCCCTTCCTAATTATGAGCTAAACCTGCCATTTCATTGTGTGTTGCTGTTAGTATTTACAAGTATTTGTGTACAAGTGCAACAATGAATCGGCGCTGGTCCCCGCAACCGGCCAAGTAAGTGTCACTTTTTCTTAAAATACTTGAAGTAGATCCATTCTTTAATCAAAATTATGGGTTATAATGTTGTGCAAGATTATAAACTTTTTCGGCATAACTATGAAATTTCGAATTGTTTCGACATAAGCTTAAAAACTAAGAAGGTGGGCCAATTTTCAAAGCTTCTTAGTTTCTTTGTTTGTGATCGAATAGCTTCCAAATTTCGCCATAATGATACCTATATGCTCACAAGTAAGAAAAATTTCTCCACGGAAAAAATTCAGGTCCGAAAGGGTTAAAGAGGAACAGCTCTGCTCTGAAAAATTCTCATTTTCACTACATATAAAAACGAGCACAATGCAATTGCGAGTTCCTATGTTTTTCCTGATGCGAACCAATTGAAAAGAAAATGGTCGCAAGGGAATCTAGAAAAGTTACGATACAGCTATGCTATCGCTTTGGTTAAGTTTTCAATTGTAGCTGTACCTGAACATTTCACTGTTGACTGTTACTAATTATCCAACATACTCGTCCGAATCTCTCGCATCTTTCTAGCCTTCTCCTTGAAAAGCCTCAAATTGGCACGCCCGTAGAAAATGCTTCTCTCATGAATGATCTCAATTTCCGATTTGCTTTCTCCGACCGCTTTAGTTATTCGTTAACATAATGTTTCTCTTCTAATTAGCCTGTACTTCCGGTTTTTTCCCTTTTGCTCTTTTTTGGCGTTTTCTTCATTATTCCTACTCCCACTATAAGCGCATACCATGGTCGAAGGACTGAGTTGTGGCTCGTAAGCGTGACTGCGAACTTCAAATGCTTATTGGTAGCGTTTTTACCGTTTTTCCGTAGATTCTACAGTATGTTTCTCGAAAGAGTAAGGCGATGCAGCTCAGTGTGATGGGAGCCGGATTACGAAAACATTGTGTTCTACTTTGAGAGCATGAGGTGGCTCAGACAATGCTAGTCCCCTCCTACCATTCAGTGCAAATTTGTAAACTGAAGCGGAGACGAACCGTAGAGGGTAGTGCTTAGAATCGAGCGATTTGTGTAGAAACTAGGAGGGTCGAAAAAATAAATAATCCAGGATACGACTGCTGGCATTAGCCGATCTATCTGCACAATTCGTTTTCTCAATGCGTAAAGGTACTTTGGAAGCGACTCTCAGGCGATTCTCGTTTACAGCTGCTACATACGCCGAAATCCGTAACCACATTTTGTCGAAATTGAGGTTTATCCATGTGCGGCGTAGTTCCTGTTTTTCGGCAGACGCCCATTTTCCAAAGGTCGGGGCATCCGTAGGCAGAGCTAAGTGAAAGAAGTGTTAGTGACGGATGAACGGACGCAGAACGCGTTCGCAAGGGACAACGGTTCATAGATATTCGATCCAATTAGATTAAAATGATCTAAATCTTTGAATTGTGCAATACGCCAAGGGGGAATTTGGTCTTAAAGGAATCTTCCGCGGAAAAAGCTCCGCCTCCATTACCACAGAAAAACGATACCCCTTAGGCCCCTAGCCTCATGAGCATAGCAAAAAGAACGGAACATAAGCGTTAGTTTCGATAATACTAATCCTACACACAAGACAAAATGATCACTCTTTCCGTGGAAGATTCCTTTAAGGTATCGTTTTCTGTGGTAATGAGGGCGGAGCTTTTTCCGTGGAAGATTCCTTTAACAGTAGATTTTATTTTCCATTTCGAAATCATTGAGAATCGAGGTGACAGGACAGAGGGCGACGCCAACAAAGGGACTCCTACCCGTATATTTTCTATCCGGTTTCATCAAACTGGTTTCTCGAACCGTATTAGAGTGAATCGTCACGGACATCCAGTGACCTTGACGAGGGCGAGTGGTCCGAAGTCAACTTATGAAGGGTTACACAGAGTCTAGGGTAAAATCTAGTCAATTCTGGGAAATTTAGTCGCGGCGCTTGTTAAAATTAGTGAAGAGCAGGGGATAAATAGTTTGGATCGAAGTTGGTAAGTTTTGGCGCATTGTAAATTTGAGATAACAAAAAAGATATGGGCTGATAACAATCAAATCAATCGATAAGGTACATAACACCGGTAAACTCTTTGCTTATGTTTTCCGGATTCGCCTAAATCGCGCATATGTACAGTCATCGCCACAAGCGCATACCGTTTCTCTGTTTTTTGTGCGCAGGAAGCTTCACTAGAACAAAAAAGTTTGCGCTAGTGACACGTCGCTGACTTAAGTGTTTTTTTTCCTCTTATAGGACGTCACTGGGTGTACGTACAGCCTCGAAGGTAATGATGGCATTTTTGTGACTCGAAAAGCTTGAAAGGGGTGCTAGACGCTAAGCACTTGTATCAGCTCACGTCCATTGACTATGTACTCTGAGCCAACTGTGCTCTCTGTTTCCCATTTTTTCGTCTCAGCGCCCTGTCCCTCATAGAGTGTGCACCTCTGGAACCCATCCTCTAGAAGAAAAGCCCTCATTTGGAATGTTTCCAGTGGTTTCGTTTCATTTTTTTCATCACTGGCGAATGTATTAGCAATTACTGATTGGCACCTTAACTACATAACTCCGCTTTTGCTATCAAAGAATGTGCCTTCATATTTGGGCCTATCGTAATTAAAAATACCTTTTCAAACGAGAACACTCAAAGGCAGCGATTACGATAAGGAGGAAGCGCATCGTGGATGCATTTGCACCACACGAAGCAGTTACTTGGCTGCTAAGGCTGCTTTCATAGTTCGCATCGGTGCGGTCGGTGCCGACGGCGCCGACCGCACCGACAGTGCGAAGAGCGTCAATACGCGCTCTGGCGCATGACGCGTACGTTGGGCGCAGATCGCGCGCTCCGATCGATAATCCTGGTTTTGGTGTATTTCTTGTCTTTTCGATGTTTTTTTGCGCCGTGTTGCTTTTATTCGTGTGTTATCTGCTTATGTCTCGTTTCATACTTTTCAGTTGTTCCGCGGACGAGCGACTTCGTAGAACCCCGTCGTACTACCCCGAAAGTGGCTATACCTGGGTGAGTTCATCATAAGCAATTTTGTTTATTCGAGTGGACTCTATAATTTTAGAAGTTGCTTTTTCTTCGATACGATTTCCTGCTGGTGTGCGAAAGGCCGCCGGATCTTGGTAATTTAATTATTCGCACACCAGCAGGAAATCGTATCGAAGAGAAAGCAACTACTGGAAACATACAGTTCACTCGAATAAACAAAATTGCTCATGATGAACTCACCGGGTCTTGAAGCCACGACGGGGTTATACGACGTCGCTCGTCCGCGGAACAACTGAAAAGTATTCATCAAGACATAAAAGAATAAGTATGAACAGAAAACACACTAATAAAAGGAAGACTGCGCAAAAAAAAATCGAAAAAGACAAGAAAGTACACCAAAACCAAGATTATCGATCGGAGCGCGCCATCTGCGCCCAACGTACGCGTCATGCGCCAGAGCGCGTATTGACGCTCTTCGCACTGTCGGTGCGGTCGGCACGAACTATGAAAGCAGCCTAAGGGAGCGAAATGTGGCGCTTTCACGACGAAAGGTGCGCTGGTTGCTGAGCAGGACTTCGAAAGCACTCCGCCCCAAAAGCGATCCGCCCACTTGGTGATTTGGACGAGCTGCGTTGCCAGCAGCGGCACAACTGGAGCAACTCGATTGGAGCGTGGTTTGGCATGTGCCACCAAACGCGTTGCGGTGAACTCGTTCATACGTCCGCTTTCTGAGCTGTTACCTGTTCATGAGTGAAAACCAACGGCCAAAAAAGGGGTCCCGTTTTGCGTTTTCTTGACGGATTTCTCAGCTTTTTTCGCCACTGCGTGCCATTGAGCACCGTCACGTCCTTTGAACCCTTTTCGAATTTATCGTGATCGCTGCCTTTAACTTGAGACTACATTTTTTTTCTACACTGACTCGATATGAAATAGCATGAAAACAGTGTAGCTGATTATGGTTCACTCTTTTACATACAGTACCCTTACTATTCACCGAAATGTACCCTCAACAACAAACACAACAGTATCCGATCTTCAGAAGAGACAAGTGCATCGTTGACTAAAGCGTCATTCACAGCTAACTGCCAGCGTGTCACTCCAACAACGACGACGACACCAGCACCAAAAAAGCGGAAGATGGGAGGTTTGTTCGTTGCTATAATTGCTCTTAGTTTGGATTTAGGGATTTTTCAAGGTTATTTTCATGTTTGTTTTGTTTTTCAATTTATTTTTTGATCACAACATCTTTCCTAACGTGTTAATGCTACATCTTTCCTAATTCCATTAGGAAAGATGTAGCATTAACACGTTGACGACAGCATGGCGCGCATGCGCGTCAGGCTAATCTGTCCGATTCTGGCCAGTTTTTTCGATTTATTTGGCTTTTTCATATTTCAAAACTGTGTGCATGCATTATCTTATCCGAAAACTGTGCATCAATTACCAGTAGTGGAATTATTGAAGAAGTTATGACGATTGTGAAAAAATAAACAAAAAGGTGCCGAGGTACGCGCACAAGGGCTTCCGTCAACGTGTTAAAAATAGTGTCGCGATGATTGGAGGCTGTTGCGGCTCTGATGATATCGCAGAACGTCATTGGTGGATAGGTTTTGAAAGACAGTCCTAACTACGCCAGGGTCAATCGTGACGTTCGCACTTTTCAGAAATTTCGCGACCCCCCCCCCTCCTTTAGGGGGTCTCGATGCGACCCCCACCACCACCATGAGACTCAGGAGGCTCCCCAATACGACCACCCTTCTCCCTACCCCGACCACCACCCTCGCCATCATGGCTGTTTCTATAGTATTTGATTCTGAGACCAGTCGACACAGCCCAACTCCGCCCACTTTTCCTCCAAAAAGGCGTCGAGCGGGGGGGGTTATAAGTGCAACGAAACGGCAGATTTTCTCTCCTCCTCCCACCTATCCTACGCGCGCCAATTACGCGCACGAAATCCCTCAAAAATGCCATTCATCCAATGGACCCCCTTCCCAAAATCATCCAAACACAAATGCGACCCCCGAGTTCGAATAGCGCGAACACACGGTTGACCCTGACCACGGCTTCGAATGCGCTGAGGGGCCTGATCCACCAATGGAACGCAATGATTTCATCAAACTGCACAGCCTGCCAGCCATCGTTACCACTGCCTTTGAGCCCCGCTTGGTCCAATTATTCTTCTTCCGCTATTAGCATAACTGCAGCTGAAGGTACTGTGCTACTTTGTCGTTCTGCAGCAATTTGAATGGTTTCAGTGAACTCTGACAAATGCTTCCTGGAACTGTCAGATTTCGTTTTGGAAGGAACAGCTCTCGCAATTGAGACCATGATCAGTCATCAGGAATGCAAATGTCGCTGCTTAAATGGAGAAGAGAGGTGAGTACTGGAGTGGATCAAAAAAAGTAATATTTACAAATTCATGTGTGTTCAGATATGGTGAAGCATGTCAGTCTTTCCAGTACTACTTCGATAGTAGCACTTGCTTAATCAACAAACAGAACAGGTAAGACGGTATTTCGAAGGATACATCTACAAAGGTGGTGAACTGCTCTTATAGAAGTACGGGAATCTTACTACCGGGTTTCCAAGACTAGTATTTTGATATGTTATTTCGCCATATTTTCGTGATTTGCTGCATAAGCCAGCTTGAACCAAGGAATAGAGAAATGATAGAAAGATGTTAGCATGGGATAAGGATAAAGCATTTGCCGTTGATCAATCCCTTTTTGGGATGCGGCACGCATTCTACTTCCATTTGTACATTCGTAGTGGCGTTTGAATGCGATGTGGCTCCAGGCCAGGATTCGATCCCCGATCCGCTCGCGTGGTAAGTGTGCCACTTGCCATTACACCACTGCCGCCCGTTAGCGGAGGTGTATTTTTCTCGCTCGCTGAACACACTTTTCGGAAAGCGCTTAACCCTCAGTATTTTTCCTTTCCATATTGATTAAAGTTGAATTCCCTGGAAACGTTTGAGTGATATAACGAGATCTTTGCTACAACAATGGTGCTAGCAAAAAAATCAGCCTATGTAATAGTACAACCACGTCGCTCGTATAAGTTTGGGGAGGCATTGCAAAACTCCTTCCCATGCCGGGAATCGAACCCGGGCCGCGTGGGTGAAAACCACGAATCCTAACCACTAGACCACATGGGACACGTGGGTGACTGCAACCGAGCGCTTCACCAGTCAGCACGAGCACAGCTTCCGTCTCATTGTTTCCAATGTCGTGAATAAAATATAGTATGTTTCAGATTTTCGAATTCGGAGAATTTCAATTTTGTACCAAGCTCGCAGAAGCGCAGTTATTTCGAACATAGATGTGCAACACGAGGTAATTCAGGCTTGACATAAAAGTTTTAACTAGCTATTAATACCATGAGAATGGCAATAAGCTGCATTCTCACAAGTTACCCTTGATCATTTTCAGACGATGTCCGCCTGAAATATTTGGACGATTTCTGCTCCGGTGACTCAGTCGAGGCGCAAAACAACACGGCCGATACTGGCAGTAAATCTAAAAAGGTGACGAATACAAAAGACATTCCAAAAGATAGCATTTGATCGATCATCCAAGGTTTTTACCTAGCTTTATATTTTAGAGTCAACAAGAAACGGAAAAATCCCAGCGAGGTCCCGACTCCATGCACGAAGTAGGAACAAAGGAGACCACTACGACGCCGAGTTTGAAGTCCAAGGATACCGACAACGAAAAAATTGATCAACCAAATGCTTCAAAAGAGGTGGTTTCCATTTTTCAACACTCAGGTTCCGACATCTTCAGACATGTGAGTGCGCGGAAGGCGCTCTAATATGTACATACAGATGTGCCTAGCTCCATTTTCCCGGAATGTCCCATTTTTTCACAAAAGTGCTAGCAAACCAACAAACCATTCAAACGAAAAGCGTAAATAGCTTCAGTTTCTTCTCTTTTCCACAGAGTACCATCCAATTTTTACTCTACTGTAGATCTAGTGCTAGATTAAAGGCAAATTCCGGGATTTCTGGCGAAATTTAGGTTTTCCCCGTCAAATATGCAGCAGTACGCAAGGGCAGACCATGTGCAGAAGTGGCGGGGCGTTTTGATAAGGTTTAGGCGCTAGGAGCCTAGGTTGGAGCATTGGCGCCGCCCCAACCCCATTGAGCCCGCCCACGTCCTACGTGATCTTCCAAACAACCACCTGGAACGCTAGATGTTAAGCCGTTGTTTGGAAAGTCGTAGGGGAATATTTAGCGGATTTCAACTGCGAAAATCAACATCAAAGCCTATGTTACGACCATTTTCGAGAACGTTGTCATCATTCTAGTGAGAAGAAAAAATTTTAAGATAGGAAGCAAACAAAAAAGCACAGAAAAATAGAAAAAATAGGGAAACTAGAAAAATCAGTTTTCATTGCTGACTTTTTGTGGCCGTGTCGGTTGATGGCACAAAGCCAACAGTTGCTGTAGACATGTCCAAACGTAATTTTCCCAGCCCTGGTTCGTAAGCGACTAACGAAGAGGAATTTCTAATTTTGGAGTTCTTTGGAGGTATTTCCTGCTTTTTTCATTACCTTCGATCAACTTAGCATCCAGCTCTTCACACTCGAACAGGTGAGTCCCTCGTTTTATCCCGGAGTTTGCCTATAAGTTAGCGTTGTGAATGGTGGCGAAAATATGTTGAATGTAGCAGTGAGAAAACAAAGCAGAGCAAGCAAAAGCTGCTGCTGGAATCTATTCGAAATTCATTAATCTGAAAAAGAAACTACTTCTCAGTAAAAGAAAAGCTTACACTTTCCCCAGAAACGTATATCGAAGAGTCGCTTTTAAGATTTTTGAAGACTACATTTTACACTTTTACTTTGTTCTATTTCGAAGAAGTTTTGTCTTTTGAGCTACTTGGAATCCATTGAAATATTGCATAGATCCAACATTCCAAGACGTTGACCAGCATAGCGATTTTTACATTTCTAAATAGTACCTGTTCAACCTAAAAATGTTCTTATCACCATACGTACCTTCCCCAAAAATCTCCATTTTGAAAGCCTCGCTCTAACTATCATTCTAATACTAGAATTTGTTGCTCTTATTCCCCATAGTCATTATTGAATGCTGATATTGGCGAAAAGCAACATTTCTCAATCCTTCAATATTTCTTAATTCTTGTACGTAGATATTGTTACTTTCTTCCAAATCCCGCTCACGTTGAAAATACTCCAAACAATTTCACCGCCTGAGTTCTCTACCGCGATTTTTCGCACATAACTCAAGAGTTTGGACAGACACGCATTCTATGATTTGGTCCATTCTCGGACTAGGGGTGAGAAGCTCAAGCTTGTATTTCGGCAACCCCACTCTTCGGTTGGGCGCAGGTTTTTCACGTTCCGAGCGGGAATGGAGTATGCTAAAATGAGTAAGGGCCTCCCCGTTCCAGCTTCTTTCTGTCAATTCAAAAAAGCGGTATCTCTCTATCTGAATCAGGGCAAATAAGTTTTGTTGCTTATAACATATTACCTCCTTTTTCTGTTCCGTTTTATTGCTGTTATGTCTTAATTTTTCAAGTTTTGTTTTGTATTCTCCTTTTTCATTGTTTGTTTAACACATGTGAAGAACATGTAATAAATTGAAATATGAGATCGTTATAGGAGAAAAAACCAGGAAAAGTCGTTATGGTTCTGCCGATGATACCAATGGTCTATAACAGAGTGCGTTTTTACCGTTGTTTTAAAAGTTTCGAATATTTAGCTTTTGTCCATGACTCTGTCGAAAAGTATTAGATGATTACAAAAATTGTTCGTGAAAGTTATGTAATTTCAGACAGAACCGCCGCCACCTAAATGGAATTCAGACAACCGAACTAGTGGCGGATATGGTGGTTATCATAAGGTTGAACCGAAAGTGGAAAAGCATTTTATGATTCCTGAGGCGGAAAGTGAAGAAGACGGTAATGCGCCAAGAACGCAACCGACTACTGTAGCAACCACAACAACCACTGAACGGCCAAAAATAAAGCGATATGTCGTGGTAAGCTTTTATTGACTGTCGTACGAATTGAAGCTTTTGCTGATATTTTGCTAATCTTCCGATGACGTCACCTACCATAATCTGCAAGGAGTCGATTGGGAGATTCGACCAACTTTCCAGAATACGTTTACTTGTAAAGGGGAGTGGACATGCGAGTTTTCCCATTGAAACTCATTGTCTATGTGCGGAAACCCCTGGTTCTTCCACTCCACGTTTTCTCTTCCAGCCCATTCTCTTTCTAGCATTTCTTTTTCTGAAATTATCACTGCATTCAAACATATGAGTTACTTTACTAATATGAGCCTCTCCATATTTTTCGAGCCGCTTTCGCACCATGCGAGGGCATCCTTTTAATACTAAACATAGGAGGGGCAAGGAGCTTAGGGGAAATGAAAGCTCACGCATACTGGAGTCTCCCTCCCCCTAAGGCTTAAAGGCATGCCCCAGGATCACATTGGTGTGGCTCTTGCACACGAATGCGAATGTATTGGTGGAAATGGGCCGGCAGTAAAGAAAAAAGGAAAAGAATCCGTCGAAAACGCTTAGGTTAAGGGCTCACTCACCTTCCTAATCGGCTGTGCTAAGGGAATGAGAGACTAAGCGCGGAGAGGAGAGTATGAGGCGAGAGAGCGCTACAGATGAGAGAGCG